TCCATGACAAAGAGGTTAATTGCAACCCAATAGAGCTAAACTAATGTTTTATTAAGAAGGAGTTGGCAGCCCGGGCTTTTAGGAGAACAAATGTTCTCATAATGCCATGAACAACTTACAGTGCAAGCATTCTGCTTGTCATGCGCAACTGTCTGTTCGTATTACCCCATATCGATCACGTCTAAGTAACATCCGCGAACTGCTGAGCCATCAGTCGTTCAGTCGCACCCGTTTGGTTTCCGTCGAGGTGAGCTGGGGGGAATGCAGTTGAGTGGAGACGTGAGAACTGCTGATGAGTCTTTTTTTTTTTTTTTTTTCCTCTGACCTAGACAGTGTGGCTGAGTGACTTTTTCAAAGTTTGTCCGTAACACGGTGTGTAGGGGGCGGGTGTTGGGGAAAGATCAAATAAACTCAACTCGTTAACAGCGGAGGCAATTCCACAGCACAAAAGGACAGGCGTAAGAAAATTCACCTTGGCGCAGTTTACAGTAGTGAAAAGTCTGGAAACTTCTAGATCATGTGTCAGTGATATGCATTGTCAAGGAGAAACAAGCGCCCCATTCCTAGAGATAATGGGGAACAGGCAAGAGTGAAGCACCGCGTGGGTTGATGGGAAGATAAGAAGGGAAACTTCAGGTTGTTGTGTTTGGTGCGGCTTTTGTTTTTTCCAGTGAAGCTTGTGGGGAGGCCGGGAGTAAGGAGGTATAGAAGTCTTCAAACAAGTGCTAACGTTAGAGCATTCCAGCAAGAGTCCCCCTGGCCTGTGACCTGTGGGAGCAGTAGTTCCTGTGCTTCTACTAATTTACATATGAAATGGAACACATCTTGACTTAGCTTTGGTTCTCCACCTTCCTTCCAGAACATGTTGATAGCAAAATCCTAAATGATGATTCCCTGACCATTGCCCTTGACCTTGGTTTCTCTAGGAAGAAAGAATCCTTTGCGAATCTTTGCTTGTTAATCTCTGTGCTTCCCTATGCCAGAGCTGGCCCATCACTCAGTCCTGCCTTTCTTTCTCACTAGTGGTTCCTCAGGTTCTTTCTGAAGATTAGGAACACTCTACCTTCTGTGGTGATATTGTGTCCCCCCAAAATATTGTACACCCTAATAAACTTATCTGGGTTCAGAGAACAGAACGGCCACTAGATAGACATAGAGGTCAGAAAATGGCAGCACACACACCTTTAATCCTAGCATTCTGAAGGCAGAGATCTGAGTTCAAAGCCACACTGGAAACAGCCAGGCATGGTGACACACGCCTTTAATCCCAGGAAGTGATGGCAGGAAGCAGAAAGGTATATAAGGCGTGAGGACCAGGAACTAAAGTCTGGTTAAGCTTTTAGGCTTTTAGCAGCAGTTCAGCTGAGATTCATTCCAGAAGAGGACTCAGAGGCTTCCAGTTTGAGGATACAGGATCAGCTGAGAAGTTGGTGAGGTGAAGCCAGCTATGGCTTGTTCTGTTTCTCTGATCTTTCAGCATTCACCCCAATACCTGGCTCCAGGTTTGTTTTTATTAATAAGACCTTTTTTTTTTTTTTTGGTTTTTCAAGACAGGGTTTCTCTGTGTAGTTTTGGTGCCTGTCCTGGATCTCACTCTGTAGACCAGACTGGCCTTGAACTCACAGAGATCCGCCTGCCTCTGCCTCCCGAGTGCTGGGATTAAAGGTGTGCGCCACCACCGCCGGCTAATAAGACCTTTTAAGATTCATGTTACAACCTTCCTCACTCCAGAGTTCTTCCTTAATGTCATGAATATATACCTAATATATACTTACTGAAAGCGGAGCCTAGCTCCCTTGTTACATTTTAATTTTAATTGTATATATATAAGGCAGGTGATACGCTAATCCCTGTATAACTTTTTCACTTCTGCTTCGTTTATTCAACAAAAATGTCATTAGTGTCCTTTACAAGTTGTGTTGATCAGATTATATATGGTTGTACAGACACATTTAAAGGAATGTTTTGTGAGTATTTATATTAGGAACTACTGCTCCCTAATTATGGATGCAGCACTACCACTATGTGACAATAGCCTTCACTGTTGTGTTTCCCCTTCCTCACTTCTCATTCTGGGCATAGTAAGAGATGAGTGGATGCCAGCCTTCTGAAGGTCTGTGCTCTTCCTTGACTCATTGGGTAGATTCCTCCCACATTTCCCTTTGTTCCCAGAAGTTTTTCTAGACAAATATTATTGAGTACACAGAATGGAAATGGTTTTCTCTTTTAATCATACTCAGATATACAGAAATCCAACATCACCTTTCTTCAAGATATAAGCCTTCAGTAAGAAAAAAGATGAGCTAAGTAGTTTCTAGAAATAGCCTAGGCAGCTATATACTCAGCTGATGTAAGATGAGGACTTATCAGATATATTTTAGCATGTTGATGAGGGGTGACTGGAATAGTCATAGTCACCTGAGAGCACTTTATCATTTACACTCCACCCAGTAAAGCTGACCAAGACCTACTGTAATAAGACATTAATGGGCTTTAGTCTCAGATAAAATTGGATTAGTCAGTTGTCTTTTGTTAATTTTCTTACAGCCTTTAGTGCTACCCTAAAGAGATGAACTTTGATAACCTGAAGTAAATCATGGCTACACTGATGTTGTTACTGTCACATGATGTATGTACCATGGCGTATGGATGAGAGCACGCCCTTCCTATAGGTGGACCAAAGAAGCTTCCAGAAAGCAGTAATCCTTTACTTGTGTCTGAACTGCCGTTAGCCCAACAGATGGAAAGGGGAAGAGAACTGAAGACAAGCAGGATGAGTGTAATCTAGAAAAGAATGGGACGTTACAGTATGTAAAAAGTACTCTGGAAGACTTAATTATATTTTGAATTTATTCTTCAATTAATTTTCTATTGGTTTAGTAAGGTTGGAAAACAGTAAGATGGCGGAAGATAGATGTAGTGTAAATCCTTGTAGGTATAAGCTAAATGGCCTCTCTTCTAAGGACACAGTGTTATCCTGGAAGTCTCTAGGTTGATGGAAAAGATTGAAGTGGGAAAGTGTGATCTGATTTGTGTTTCAGAATGAATCTCACCAGTGTGTAGATATGTTCTCAGGGGGTTGTCCCCTGACTACCGTGACACATGCTGTACTGTGTGACAAGTAAGAATGGAAGGAATTCAGTTTGAAAGATTCATAAATTATAAACTAGAAGGCTTCTGCGTATGTGTGTGTGTGTGTGTGTGTGTGTGTGTGTGTGTAATAGTGGAAGAAGGACAGTGGCTGTTAAGTTACTGATTTGCATGGTTAGAAATGGCACCAGTTAATTTATCAAGATCAGGGATAGCTGAAGGATTTAGGGTTGTAACATGCAGAGAAGGTAATAATAAGATGAGTTTTAGACCTGTTGAGAGCAGATGTCCGTAGAATATCTTAGAAGAGGGTGGCCAATGCAGAGAGATGTTCAGGTCCAGCACACAGAAGAAAAGTCAAGGTTGGTGATAGACAATTCAAGTTGATTTTGTTGTATGTTGATGCTCAAATTTCTGGAGAAGTAATTGATGATGTCTCAGTTGCATCATTGTGGGGCCAGAACACTGTACAGAACCTTGGGTTGCAGGTGATGTCCCTAACCTGATTTTAAATTACAGACTATGGAAAAGCTCATTAGTAAAGAAGAAAAAAGAACTTTCTGTCACTGGATGTCGGCTTACTTCTCACACAATTACTGAACACATAGAAGGAGCTGAATTGGTGGGAGGAGTTCTAAGTCTGAATGATTAGTCTGAAGGGTAACAGTAAAGTCTAACATCACCAGTACTCTGTGATTTGGCCAGCACTAGTCTCTTGTAGGTCCAGGGCTCGCCCCTTCAGTCTTTGACCAGCTTCAGGTTCCACTTTGAAGGAGTTGTTTGGAGACTAGCCTGTCAATGGGTAATACCATAGAAATGATCAACTAGGTTTAGGGAAATCTTTAATAGAGCAGAGCTTTGAGCCAGTTAGAGAACGTATAGTTGTGACAGGGCAACAATGTGGCTGGTTTTGCTCTATTTGTTCACATCTCATTGGTATTTTCTTTGAAATTAATGATTTTAATAATGGCAACTTGAGACCCCAGAAGAATTTTTTTCGCATTAAATTCACATTCCTTTCTCCCCAAAGCAACTTCTCTTTGAGAAAACATGATTAGGTTTTTAGATATTTCAAGCATAACTTTTTAGATATCACTGCAGTTGTTAATGAGACAAATAACATTTGTTATGCTACCAGGGAGGTGGAATGTGTGATATGAACCATACCATGTGTGGTTAGCATTGGGCTTTTCCTCTTAGGTGGGTGCCTCTGGATACAATGCACAGTAGAGCTGCCTTCATTAGGGTGGTAGTGGCTGCTCTAACAACTAATAATAATTTAGTAATGGCATGTATTATTTCTATTAATAAGGAAAATTTTGATTTGACACAAGAGAAGCATATCTTTTGTTTACATAATAATCCAAAGCAAGTGGCCTTGGCTGGCATCGTTCTACACAGCAATCCAGTGGCTTTTCCTTCCTCTAAGGGCTTGCCATTGGCATCCAGCTGGTAGAAGGAGTAGGAAGTGTGATACCAACTTGCTTCTGAAATAGGGATACAGATGTGGCATCATTGTTTCTGCTTACATTCCATGAGTGAGAACTAGGGACTTGGAACACACAGATGCATGGGATGCTGAGAAAAGAGTTGCTGGCTAGGCAGCTGCTTCCCCTTAACAAACCCATATGAATCAAGCAGGACCAGATAATTTTTTAACCCATTATCTGCCTTGATTACAGGGACTACGTCGTAGATGTGAAAAAGGCACAAATGTCACAAATATTAGAAAGTGCATCCTTTTAGTCACACCTCAGATATTTGATGGTGTTTACATAGGACCAAAGCTGATATTCTTCAGTTTTTCTGGGCAGCTTACAGTTGCTGTCATCCTCCAACTGTCTGAGAGAACGCTGGACTTTCAGTTCATGGTATACGAATAACCAAAACTCTCTGTTCATCTTTTTAAGGTTGGACAAAATTTGCCCGATTGACACGGGCTTTGACAAATAGCCGAAGCGTTTTACAGCAGCTTACACCAATGAATAAAACAGAGACGGTCCACAAACATTCACGACTAGCTGAAGTAAGTATGAGAATGACTTTGCTTTTCAAGGTAGTGGCATTGATATGTGTTCGTCCCAATTATTCAGTATAAACACAATTGTATAGGTGATAATTTATGTTTTCTTTGTAGAACTGTAGAAATTTGAAACATTGCTTTTTATCCTCTCCAACTTTTGCATGGAAATGTAGTTCATGCTGTATTAGGTGATGCTTAGAGACTGTGTGATTTAATTGAACAAATGGGACAGAGAGTCCATTCATTCATTTGTGTGTGTGGAAAATATTAATTGAGGGTTTCCACTGTAGTTGGATTTCTGTGAAGGATGTAAAGATGAATAAGAAACAGGTTGTTACTCAGGAGTGAAAGACACAGCACAGGAAATGGATAAAGAATTTAAGATATGGTACCCAAGTGTGAGATGGTCCTCAGTGGAGTGAATTCAGGAGAGGAGTCAGGACCAGTGAGATGGCTCAGCAGGCAAAGGTGCCTGCTGCCAAGTCTGGCAGCCTGAGTTCTATTTCTGGAACCCATATGGTAGAAGCAGAGAACTGACTTCTGCAAATTTCCTTTGACCTCCACATATGTGCCATGACATACACCCCACCATAAATGTCTTACACACACACACACACACACACACACACACACACACACACACACACACACACGAGAGAGAGAGAGAGAGAGTGTCAAGAGACAGAGAGACAGAAAGACAGAGAGACAGACTCACACACAGACAGAGAGAAACATACACAGAGAGACAGAGAGAGAGAGACACACACACACACACAGAGACAGAGACCAAGCTATCAACATTGTACTGAGTCCATAAAATGTTTTGAGTTAACTTAGAAAGAGAAAGACACCATTAAACCCTGATGTTCATTGATTTTGAAAAAGGTCGAGACACTTCTTAATTAGTTACAAACACGAATTCTGTTGAGAGAGAGCTGGGAAATAAAGTCTATTCTTTAAATATTCTGGAGTTTTCCTTAGCTCATAACTAACAGCCTGTGGCAGTTTTTTTTCTTCTTCTTCTTCTTCTAAAGAGCTCTTAGTACCATGGAGAAAGCAGAACATGTTGTGGAATAGCCGCCCTTAAAACAGGACATGGATATAGTGTTAAGTAATACTGTTCACACCGTGTGCAGAGGCGAGCCGCAGCTGGTTCATGATTTAGAGCAGCCAGGTGGAACTGCCCTTTCTGACAGTGCTCCTGAAGAAGGACTGCTTACTAGGAAGCTGCCTTCTCTTCTGCTTCAAGTGTCCAGTCCCTTCGCTGTGTCCAGTTCCTGTGCTGAGCCCAGTTCGTGGTCCGAGCTTGTGCCCGTGTGCGCAGGCTTTCTAAGCTTTCTTCCTTCTGGTCCCTGTCTCCACTTTGTGCTCTGATTTTCTTTCGCCTACCACCTATAGAGGGGAGGGGGCCCGGAGGAGGAGGTGTGGCCCCCTGGAATCCAGGATCACTCAGGGGTTCTTTTAAATGTGAACTTTTCATTTCGTCTCAACACTTCACTTTTATTTCAGAGGGTTTTTCACTCTTGCTTCTTCTCCTGTGACTTGGCCTTTTCCTTTTCTTTGTTTATTTTTGACCTTGGATGATGACTGATGATCAGTGAACTGGAATTCGGAAAACCAAGTCCAGCCGAATTTTGTAACTGCTTTCTGCGAGGTCTGAGGCTGTTTTAGAGAAGGTGGAAGTAGCCAGCTCGTCAAATGTGGTTCCCGTGGTCATATGGAGTGTTCCCTTGGATTTCCAGACCCCAAAGAAACACCAAGTGGGCACAAGAATATTGTCTTGTCAATCATAGTGAAATACTTAGATAATTTGCTCACGACTGTTTGCTTTGAAAATTTCACTTTTCCAAGGCACACAAATTTATCTCTGTTCTACCTGATCTTCTCAGTTTGGAGTAGATCCGAGTTTCAAAGATTGCAGTTCCCCCCCTCCCCTAAAGCAGTTAATGAGCTGTTTATGTGCACTGACATCCTACTGATTGCATTCAGCTTATGCTGGGTGGGCCCGACTGGGTTAGAACCAGTAGCTCTTAGATCTTCAGATGGAAAGAGTGTGGCTATTGGTACAAAATCAAATCCAGAAAATGTAATTTTATTCTCACACCACTCTAAGGGAAATAACAGTGGGGGACAGAGCTGTCACTCACTGTGTCATAGAGGAGCGCAATGCAGAACTCAGGGAGAAGATCTGGCTCCCTATGACAAAAATCGAAATTCCAACAATTGTGCGTCTGTCTTAGTTAGGGTTTTTTTTTTTTTTTTATTGCTGTGAAGAGACACCATGACCACAGCAACTCTTACAAAGAAAACATTTAACTGAGCTGATGGCTTACAGTTTCAGAGGTTCAGTCCATTAGCATCATGACGGGGAGCATGGTGGCATGGCGGCAGATGTGGTGCTGGCTACATCTTGGCCAGAAGGCAACAGGAAGAACCACACTGACTGAAGCTTGAGAAAAGAGACCTCAAAGTCCACCCCTACAGTGACACACTTCCTCCAACAAGACCACATCTCCTAATAGTGCTACTCCCTTTGGGGGCCATTTTCTTTTAAACCACCACAGCATCATTTTCTGTGGTCCTACCTTTTCCTCACTCCTCTGCTGGCTTCTCTCCCTCTGTTTCCTTCCCCTTTCTTCTCCTTGCCCTGCTCCTCCTCATCTAGAATTCCTGAAGCACTTCTCATTTGCTAATCCTGTCCACTTAGTTAGGTTGGAAAAAGAAGAAAAAGATACTATTGTGAGCTATACACTGTCATCACCTGATAAAGATAAAAATAAAGACTTTTCAGAAAACCCACACAAGGCCAATGTCATCATCCTGGGGGTGGGGTAGGGTCTAGGTGAATATGCCATACTTTACAAAATCTCCTCAGAAGATCCTAATGTGAACCAGATTTAAAACACATGGAATTGTTCCTTGAGCTCAAACTATAGAAGGTACAGACATAGTTGGCAAAGAGAAGTGTGTCCCACCCCCTCCCCTGAATCTCCCAGTGATATTGGAGCTGATGGTGGTTGGAAAGTAAGAGAGAAGCCATAATTACGTGTAGTTCTTTAAATCTAACACTCCTCTCCAACATGGGGCTTACATTCCTGCTAGGATAAATTGCTGTTAAGTAATTTAAGACCATAGGGGTAAAATACATCAGGAGCACTGAGAATGTAGGTGAATACATGAAATCTCCTTAAAATAGTTCTAATACTCCCAAGTAAAAATTGTAAGTATAATTTACAACTACAGAAAATACTAGTAGAATTTTGATATTGAAAATAGCAAGATATTACATACTTAGTTTTCAGTTATGTAAGCTCGAGGTATGAGAAATTTTAGGATACTATCCCAGGCTTCAAAAGGTGTGTGTGTGTGTGTGTGTGTGTGTGTGTGTATGTATGTGTGTGTGTGTGTGTGTGATGGAAGATAAGCCATAGAGCTGTAAGATAATGCTTATCTTTGCTTATTCATGTATTCAAATGTTTGATGCATTTATCACTTAGACACCTCCCTCCATAGTTCTGTTTTTTTTTTCTAGAAGTACTGAATAACTGATTGCATGAGTTATAAAAGTCCCCTGGAAATGTTGTTTAAGAAAGCCCCATTGCCACACCCATTGACACCTCCATTACCCTAGTGAAATCAATGCACAGGGCAGAAGTTTTGGATGGGATCCTTCAACTAGTTCCACATTTCCCAGTTTCCACCAGGCAGTCCAAGCCCTGTGTTGTGGCTGCCACCTGTGGCTCTTGCTGGGTCACCTGCTTTAGACCTAACATAAGTTAAGGGTCACGTAAACCTGCACTGATAATTTTCCATTTGTTAAAAAGGTCCAGAGAGCTAAACCTGGTATTGAGTGTCTTATTTTGCTTACTAAAGGAAGCTTGCACCCAACAAGAAACACTATGCTTTTTTAAAGTTATGGTGTTAGAGAGAAAAGGGAAAAGCAGCCTGGACCATCCCCAACACTGTCCTCTTACCCATCAGGGCCCTTACTGGGCAAGTATGAAAGAGCAAGACTGACAACACTGAGGCCCTGGGGTTCAGGGAGGCCATCAGAAGGAAAAGTATATTTTCTTAGGTGCTAAATATGTGTGTAACAGATGGTGGTCAGTCACCCAAATAACTATGGGACAATCAATGAAAGACACGTAGCTCTTGTCAGGCTCACCCAGTGCATGAACAGGAGCACCTGAGACATGTTGCTGTGGGTCAAGGATGACCACTGGAGAGCCAAGCAGATGGACTAGTAATCAGGTCAACTTGTGGAGTAGTTGGACTGGCATAGGGTCCTTTGAGCAAACTTCAGGACAGTTCTGAAGAGGGATAAAAAACGATAGAGTATGATTATCCCTGCAGGTGTACAGCCATATCTGACTTCAGAGATGTCCCAATCATTTATATACACTTATTATTCTTTTTAGGTTCTTCAGCTGGGATCAGACATCCTTCCTCAGTATAAACAAGAAGCGCCAAAGACGCCACCACACATCATTTTACACTACTGTGCTTTTAAAACTACCTGGGATTGGGTGATTTTAATTCTTACCTTCTACACCGCCATCATGGTTCCTTATAACGTTTCCTTCAAAACAAAGCAGAACAATATAGCCTGGCTGGTGCTGGACAGTGTGGTGGACGTTATTTTTCTGGTGGACATCGTTTTAAATTTTCACACGACTTTTGTGGGGCCTGGTGGAGAGGTCATTTCTGACCCAAAGCTCATAAGGATGAACTATTTGAAAACTTGGTTTGTGATCGATCTGCTGTCTTGTTTACCTTATGACATCATCAATGCCTTTGAGAATGTGGATGAGGTAAGTTTTTTGCTTTTGGTTTTGGAGCTTTGGGGAATCAAATGTTTTGAAAACAAGAGAGTAAAAGGATTCCACAGATGATAAAATGTTCTTTTCAGTACTCCTGTCTGAGTTACCACCCTGATATTATTATGCATGTGCCATAAATTGTAGCTGACTTTCTTTTTTTTTATTGCTTCTGTTACCATTTCTTTTTTTTTGTATTTTTTTTTATTTTATTTTACAATACAATTCAGTTCTACATATCAGCCATGGATTCCCTTGTTCTCCCCCCTCCCCTTCCCCCCAGGCCACCCCCCATTCCCACCTCCTCCAGGGCAAAGCCTCCCCCGAGGACTGAGATCAACCAGGTAGACTCAGTCCAGGCAGGTCCAGTCCCCTCCTCCCAGGCAGAGCCAAGCAACCCTGCATAAGCCCCAAATTTCAAACAGCCAACTCATGCAATGAGCACAGGACCGAGTCCCACTGCCTGGATGCCTCCCAAACAGATCAAGCCAATCAACTGTCTCACCCATTCAGAGGGCCTGATCCAGTGGGGGCCCCTCAGTCATTGGTTCTTAGTTCATGTGTTTCCATTCGTTTGGCTATTTGTCCCTGTGCTTTATCCAGCCTTGGTCTCAATAATTCTCGTTCATATAAACCCTCCTCTTTCTCGCTAATTGGACTCCCAGAGCTCCACCCAGGGCCTAGCCGTGGATCTCTGCATCCAGATCCCTCAGTCATTGGATGGGGTTTCTAGCACGACAATTAGGGTGTTTGGCCATCCCATCACCAGAGTAGGTCAGTTCGGGCTGTCTCTCGACCATTGCCAGCAGTCTGTTGTGGGGGTATCTTTGTGGATTTCTGTGGGCCTCTCTAGCACTTTGCTTCTTCCTATTCTCATGTGGTCTTCATTTACCATGGTCTCCTATTCCTTGTTCTCCCTCTCTGTTGTTGATCCAGCTGGGATCTCCCGCTCCCCCAAGTTCTCTTTCCCTCGACCCTTGCCCTTCATTTCCCCCACTCATGTCCAGGCTGTTCATGTAGATCTCTTCCATTTCTCCGTCTGACTTTCTTAAATGAACTTTTACCTATGTTTTCCCCATGATTTCTGGCTGAAAAAGTGAACTACTAGAAAAATGACTATGGTTGGCAGTTGTGATTGGAGGAAGACAGAAGGAACAGAAAGCTAGAGGAGGAGCAGGAAGAGCAGAAAGAGGAAGAGGAGGAGGGGAAGAGGAAGAGGGGAAGAGGAGCAAGTGGAGGAAGAAGAGGAAGAGGAGGGTCATAGGAGGAGGAAGATAAAAATGGAAGCATTTGAAGTCAAATATAGTTCACAACCAGATGATGAGTTTAGGAAACAAAGATGCATTTTCTTTGAAAGACAGCCATTTTGGAAACTTCATGCCCTTACAAACCTTGTGACTTCTTCACTCAAGGCACAAATGGTGGCAGTGTTAAGAGGTAACATAAAAACCAACGTATCTTCATGAAGAAGTAGTTTTGATTTCTGCTTTTGCTTTAAATTCCTTATGAATGCAGTTGTAGGTAGAAAGTGTAATTGATGACTTCTGATGATTGACCTCACTCAGGGTTATGCTCTATGGTGTTTATGAAAATAGGAATATTTAAACCATGTCCAATCTTCAAACATCCCTTCACTCACAGCCTCTTCTCTCTGACTTAAGGGTGGATGACTTATCAATTATTATAGCAAGCTGGTGGAATGAAACCAATAATAAAACATAAATCAGGCAGCCTAAAATATCTGTTATTAAAATGTTTTAAAAATAATAATGTTACCGTGTTGCTTTCCCTAAAGATTCTCCAGTGTCTTGCTAGACCACTCCATTGGAAAGTTCTCCACTGGGCAGTCTTCACTGTGGTTGTTGTTCATGTATGCTGGGAGCAGACTGAATCCTTTCTTTGATGACTTTGGAATCAATTTTCTCTTTCAGCCAAGTACATTGATATTTAAACTTATCTTCCCCCAATTAAATGTTGACTTTTTATTTTGATACTTTACACATAACTATTATTTTATGGAAAAATTGATGAGTGATATCAATTATCTAATTTTAGTTTCTGCATACATCAAGCTGTTAAAAGTATATTTATTTCTTTCAAAATTACCTTCTGGAGAGAATTAGAAGGCGCTGACTTTGAAAATGCCAACAATAGGATAAAAGGCAATAAGCATTAGTCCATTTCCCACATGGAATTTTACATAAGCATATGATGGTTTAAGTTACTTAGAACATAGGCATAAACATTCTAATAAAACCATCAGTCATGTGTGGATTTGAATGAAGTTGATCTCACAGAAGTAGAGAGTGGAATGATGGGGCTCTGGGGTGTTTGGGAAGATGTTGAACTAAGACTACAAAATTTCAGTCAGTCAGAAGGGTTGAGTTCAAGAGGTCTGCTGTGCTATGACCACTATGACACAGTTAAAAATATACTCAATTCTTAAAACGTGCTCAAAGACTGGGTTGATACAAGAGAGTGGGGGTCTATTAGTCAAGTTTGTGTTACTCTAACAAGATACCTAGACAGATTCGTTATAAAGGCAAGAGTTTATTCCATTCATAGCTTTGGAAGTTCAAGAACAAGATTCAGAAGCCCCATCTCTTTGTGTCTCTGAATCTAGGAATTGGTGGGAGCATGTGGTGGCACGTGCAGCCCTGCCTTACCCCAGAAATATAGAAAGAGGGTATAAGCAGGCCCTCCAATCCATTTTGAGGCACACCCCCAGTGGCTTGAGTGCTTTCCTTTAGTCCCTATCTCCTAAAGGCCCACAGTACCACCCTGGTGAAGAAGCCCATAAATATAGGTCTTTGGGGGATGGTCAACATCCAAACCACAGCAGGGAGTAAGTGTTCTCAACACAAAATCGATGATGGATAGAGGCAAGACATGTATTAATTAGCTGTATTTAGTCATTCCATGATGTCTATATAAGTCAGAGCAATATGTACACCTTAAAAAAGTGTGACTTAAAAAAGTGTGACTCAATCCACAGAAAAGAGCATAAGTAAAGCCATTCCACAATAGTGAAATGTATCTATGATTACAAGCTTGATTGTGTCCAAATACGCCAACATAGAACTATTTTAAAGGACACTTGGTCTCATTCATCCTAAGGACAGTGTAGTGTAGCCTACTCCGAGATCCCATTTTCAGTCATAATCCTGAAAGGTCAGAGCTGTATTACAAACACCAGGTCGGTGAGTGTGGTGGCCGAGGAGGTCTGCTGCTCGTATTTCCCTTCACTGTACAGTGTGCGCAGCAATGTCCTGGGCTAAGCTCTGGCTTGGAAAGCCGGTTGTTCCCACGTGTTTCAAGCTCAGAATTCAGAGGTGTTGCCTTGGTCTCTTGAAGCTGGCCACAGTGCGAATACTTCGACTGTGGAAAGCGAGAAGAGCGGGAGCTCAAGCCCCTCCCCTTTAACTCTTTGTGCAGCCGGTAGCTAGAAGCAGACAACACACCACTCAACACAATTGTCCGAAGGTGACTGTTTTGGGGTCTGTTGGAGTGTCCCCCTGAAGCCACGTTTTCCCAAAGCTGCTCCCAGCTGGTGACTAAGTATAGAGGGAGGTCTTTCATGAGAAGCATCCGTGGGGCAACTTTTGTTTTGTTGATTATTTACTGTTGAGATTGTATGTTAGCCGCCATTTCTCCTTTCCCTTTCCTCCCTCCAAACCCTTCCATACACCCACCCTTGCTCTCCTTCAAGTTCATGGCTCTTTCTTCCCTCAGTTGTTATTGCTTGCACATATGCATTTGGACGGCTTTTGTTCCGGTGCTCTCTCTTCCTGTGCTGCATTCTGAACTCTCCCTTGCCAAATTATCTGTTCACTCTTTTATGGGTGCCAGATCTGCGTTGTTTTACACCTACCTCTGTCTTTTCTAGCCCCCAGACATTTTATCTTAATCAAATTCTTGCACAGATTACTCTGGCTTGGCACCTGCTCCTTCCAGGACCTGAAAAGACAAAGCAGTGTGGGACCAGTCACTGTCACACATTGCTCCAGGGAGTGTAAATAGGTATAGCCTCTGTGAAGCACAGTCAGCAATATCTTATGGAAAAAAGAACAACTCTAGAGGGAATGACTTAAATTGTTTAGGAGGTCTGTTTATTTGTTATACTGTGTTTCCACGACATTGAGGAACACAACTATCTCTCTTCCCTCTGGGGTTTCAGCTTTAGGCTTCATCTTTGGCTTCTCATCCCGGAATCTGAGCTTTCAGACTCCTTTCTTATCTGCTCCATTGCCATCAACTTATTCTCATATAGGTAGGTCATCCTTTTGGTTCAATGAACATTGAGTGATTATAATCAATAGACTCTTTGTAGCTGAAGCATCCGACAGCATCCTGTGGTTACTTTTCCTTCTCTGTCCTTTCTGTTCTTCCCAAGGGTTGCTCATTTCTATGTACTTATCAGAAGTTCAAGTGTCAAGTTATCCATCCACTCCTGTTTAAATGTCCCCGTACTGTACCAATGCAAGAGCTATCCATTCACCATCATGGATTTAAACAAATGTCTCTTCATTTTCCTGCCCAATCAAGAGTTTTTGGCTTGCTGCAGTATTCTTGGCTTAAAGTAATTTTCCTTCAGGCATTTGGAAGATATGATACCACTACATTCTACCTTTCCATGGTTCCATTTAAGAAACTAGAAACCATTGTAGTTTCTGATCCTTTACATGTGACCTGTTTTTTCTTTGTAGAGGCTCAATGTATCTACTGTGTCCCAAGATTTAGAAACTGTCTGATGAATGTGCCTTAGCATGGGGCCCTTTTCATACATTTTCATGGATATTGACAAAGTGGCCTTCTTCACTCTCAAAAAGTGTGCTTTACAATTTATTTTTTATGATGTACCTCCCTCTTTTCTGGTTTCCTCCATTTTCTCCGTTCTGAAACACTTTTTGTTTAAATATGTTGAACAAGCCCTGTGATTTCCCTGTTTATTCTCAGCTGCTTTCCAAATCATCATCTCATTGCTGCATTCCGGG